CCTGCCACGAAATCTGCACCTGGAGGTTGACAAAGTGCTGCACCTGCCACGAAATCTGCACATGGAGGTTCACAAATTGCTGTGCTTGCCACGAAATCTGCACCTCGAGGTTCACAAAGTGCTGCACCTGCCACGGAGGTTCACAAAGTGCTGCACCTGCCACGAAATCTTCGCATGGAGGTTCACAAAGTGCTTTGCCCGCCACGAAATCTGCACCTGGAGGTTCACAAAGTGCTGCACCTGCCACGAAATCAGCACATGGAGGTTCACAAAGTTTTACGCCTGCCACGAAATCTGCACCTCGAGGTTCACAAAGTTTTACGCCTGCCACGAAATCTGCACATGGACGTTCACAAAGTGCTTCACCTGCCACGAAATCTGGACATGGAGGTTCACAAAGTGCTGTGCCTGCCACGAAATCTGCACTTCAAGAAACAAGTGAAAACTCTAATCCCAATGGAGGGACGATTCCGACCATGCCCGAGAATGATCCGAGCATGACCCGAGACCGTCTCGCACCCGTCGTTCCGCAGAGCTAGACTTGCCAGGTTTGAAGCCACCGGTTCTTTTGCAAAATACAGCATTTCGTGCGTCCGCTATCTCTCCAAAACGCATTTTGTATTGCGCCTGCCACGAAATCTGCACCTGGAGGTTCAAAAAGTGCTGTGCCTGCCACGAATTTTGCACATGGAGGTTCACAAAGTGCTGTGCCTGCCACGAAATCTGCGGTTCACAAAGTGCTGCACCTGCCACGAAATCAGGACATGGAGGTTCACAAAGTGCTGTGCCTGCCACGAAATCTGCACTTCAAGAAACAAGTGAAAACTCTAATCGCAATGGAGGGACGATTCCGACCATGCCCGAGAATGATCCGAGCATGACCCGAGACCGTCTCGCACCCGTCGCACCCGTCGTTTCGCAGAGCTAGACTTGCCAGGTTTGAAGCCACCGGTTCTATAGCAAAATACAGCATTTCGTGCGTCCGCTATCTCTCCAAAACGCATTTTGCATTTCGCCTGCCACGAAATCTGCACCTGGAGGTTCACAAAGTGCTGTGCCTGCCACGAATTTTGCACATGGAGGTTCACAAAGTGCTGTGCCTGCTACGAAATGTGCACATGGAGGTTCACAAAGTGTTGCACCTGCCACGAAATCTGCACCTGGAGGTTCACAAAGTGCTTCACCTGCTACGAAATCTTGCCATGGGGGTTCACAAAGTGCTGCGCCTGCCACGAAATCTGCACATGGAGGTTCACAAAGTGCTGCACCTGCCACGAAATCTGAGTCATCTCACCAGTGGTGTATGATGAGTGGTGTGTGATGAGTGGTGTAAGATGAGTGGTGTATGATGAGTGGTGTGTGATGAGCGGGCGTGGTGTATGATAAGTGGTGTATGATGAGTGGTGTATGATGTATGATGAGCGGCGTATGATGAGTGGTGTATGATGGGTGGTGTATGATGAGTGATGTATGATGAGTGGTGTATGATGAGTGCTGTATTGAAACAGCTGTTGAATGTCCGTAACACGGAAGTTTTGCACACTAAACTTTCCTTTGGTCAATACATATTACATCATATTACATTATATATAGTATAACTTGTATAATGTGTTGTTAGGAGCCTTGTTTGACGCCAGCTGTGTTTCAACGGTCGAAGAGGCAAAGTAGCCCACCTCTCCCCAAGGGACTAGCGGCCGAAACCCCAAAAAAAAGTAGAGATGAAAAAACGCAACACAGAAAACCGGTTGAATAGTTTGTGCACGCAACCAGGGGGGAAACCCATGATTCCAGTTTCTTCTGACTTTTTGTTTCAGTGTTGCGTGTGTGGATCCAATGCCATTCACGATTGTTTTGCAAACCGTTTTCGATTTCAGCGATGCAAGTTGCATGTTCCGGGAACTCAGGTGCTGAGGTGGCTTTAGGATGATCGGCCATTCCTTACTTTAAGAAAAATACAATACAATCAAATACCACCAGTCCTGGACATTTGTTGCGATGCCAAATGCTGCCAGTGTTGCCAAATCTGGATATAAGTGATGCAAACTTCTGCAAATACGTATATGATTACTCGTTCTGATTTGTTCTGCGCATCAATGCAACTCTGTTGTGTGTGTGTGGTGGGGGCCAATTGGCCCATAGGGTCAACGCGCAAATTTTCAATCGTCCGGAGGGTTCCAGCTGATGTAGTAAGACTCCCTGCGTGTCTGTGAGGTCACCGCCGATGAGAGCCAGCACCTCAAAACTGGTGTTCGAAGGACTCCTTCATTGGCTACACCGAGCCATGCAATATGACGCGTAAGACTTCGCATATGTTGTTTGCAGCCTGCTGAGCAGCTTGTTGGACTCATCATGATTTTCCAAGAGGTATCACGAAGTCATGGATGCAGTCCAATCTTCTAGATGTTTGATCGCTTTGATCTCCCTTCTGAGGGCGGGCAGTGTTGGACGAGGCTGGGTGACAGCACATCACTTGAATCCCTCGTGGCTGCTGACTGCACTTCTTATGTCGTTTTCCAGGTATGGTGTAGTGCAGTTAATTTCGCAAATTTGGTTTGTGCCATCACACGTGCATTTTGTGATGTTTCCGCTGCACGGTTCATCATGTCATTCCTGTGTAGGTTGCTGCACTACGAGGGCAGATGTCCACTGTATTGCATACGCTAGCTTTGGCGCTCCAGGATAAAGATCGTGCATGGTGGCTGACACCCATTGCAAGAGAACCAACTGTTGCGGTCCATGCGAAGAAGAGATTGAAAAAGGTTGAGGCAATGCAACGTGCGGCTTGAACTCCAGTTCTGTCACCTTAGAATTTGGCCTCCAGTTTGCCTTTCAATGTTTCCGAGTGTATGGCGACTAGACCCAAAATTGCCTTGGCAAATTGCAGTCGAGCAATAAAATCTGGACAGAAAATAATTTTTCTAGGACCAGCCTGGCAAGACAGAATCTGAACTTTACGCTGCCGTTGCTGGGCCGTGGCCACAGCAATGTTGCAAACTGAAGAATGTAGCAAACATAGTGAGCAAACATTGGTTCCGACTTTGCTCAATGTGCGGATAGCCGGTACGTCTCGCTCAAAGAGATGTCGTGAGAGAGAGGGAGAGAGAAAAGAAATCAAACAAAGAGTTCAAACAATTTTTTAGACAGGCACTGGGCACCTAATTTCCGTAAGAGCCACATAGTTTGCCCCAAGGTTGTCAAAGCTTTGTGAAACAACGTTGCGACATTGCCAAGAGACGGCAGGCAGGAAATGGAAACATCCAGCATGGGTTGCTCGGCCGTTTTGCCTCGGTCTTTCATCTAGCATTGAGTAGAAACATTCAAGGAACCTATGTGTTGGACCGAAAATTTTTGTTTTGTTTTCATGCAGAATTTCGCCACAAGCGCGGAAAGGGCTTGTCAGATCACCCTGCACGCGAGGACGAGATTTGGGACAGGTAGTGCTGGGCCGCGAAGATATATATGTGTGTGAGTCTATCAGTCTATCTACTGTGTTTAGAGTCTTAAAGTTGTGGCTTTGATCGTTCCCCTTGAAGGGCTGAATGGCTCAAACATGTTTTGGTGTTTGTCATGGCTGTCATTTGATGTGCAATGCGATTGGGCTGATACATCTCTGAGTGCGTGCTGTGGGGAAACTGCTTGACAGCGGCTAATGTTCACACACGTCCAGACATTTTGTTGCTTTCGCCATTGTGTTTATAATTAGGTGTTCGGACGTGACCAGGTTGCCCGTATATACATGGTGTTTAAACTTAAACAGTCGCCTTTATCGCCTTTATCATTGAATCATGGTAACGCTTTAGCGTTACAGCGGTGTTTACCTTGTGAAACGTATTTGCGTTTGACTTGAAGTAAGAAAATTAATGGTGGCATTACCTTTGTTGAATAGGGTTTGGGGCGTATTTTTTGCCTTGACCCCAAGAGTTACCATGACTTAAGCTGGCACTGAGTTAACCCCTCCGTGTTAACGGTGGAAAGCAAAACTTTCGGAAGAAAAACATGTCGTCACTCTACCCTACCCGGATTTTGAGCTGGCTGTTTCAGCCATACAGTTGTTGATTTTAGTCGGCATCGAAGCGTTGTACTCTTCAAATCGTTCAAACTATGTTTTTTATCCACCATCCACCCTTTGCGCTTCCATCCGCATTGGCCCCATTAGGTGCCCAGGTGGCAGTGGCCGCAAAGCTAGCGGAGCTGCAGGAGGCCGCTTGGCGATGGATTTTCTATGGTTTTCTGAGTCAATGGATGAGAGAGAGGGGGAGGGAAACAACATTGAGCAGCTTGATACAATTTGTTTCTGTTGGGAGGAGACCAGCGTTGTTGCAGCGGCCTTGCATCGCTTGCGCGGCATTTTCCAGGAGATTGGTATTCCGGAGTCTTGCGGCGGGGTCCACTAGGGAGGCCACATGGCTATTCTTCAATCAAGTTGGAAGGAATACCTTAATCGGATTCTTACACGATCTCATTTTGCTGTGTAGTCCATGTTGTGCCCTGTAGGAATTCAATTTACTGTAATTAGTTACATTGATTCAATGCTCCGGGGAATCAATGGCAGCATATCGAAACAGCCTGCAAACCGCGATGCTTGCAGGGTGATGTTGAGAATGCCATGCGACAAATGGTCAGGGATGTGTCTGTTTCGCGCTGAGATAGTTTTGAGCCCACTGCTATCATGCGAATGCTGTTTGCTTGCGGACTTGCATTCTTGACAACTACAAACGTCAAGCAGGTTTAGGTTGTATGTATGTTCAACTCAGCTGGTGTTTGGCAACTACCACCTTGTCAGTTTCTTGATCGTAATGCTAGAGATGGCCACTTTTTAACATGCCGGGCATGTCATTTACATGTATCTATATATATATATTTATTCTGAATTATACACATATGTTGTCATCATGATTCATGATTGATCAGTTGGGTGGACTGCTGTAAGTTGGGCACGTCATTCTCCTTTGCGCACTTGGGTCAAGGAGGATCAAGGAGGTCAATATGTGGCCTGTGCGCAAGAGCATTCTTCTGAATGAGAGGGAGAAGAGTTGTCATCATCATGTAAGACTGAAAACTCCTTGAAAGAATTGCACTGCAGACTAAGTCAGAGTAAAGCGGTCGAATAATGTCAGTTTAACAGCGCAATCCTAGTGGATCGCCATGGTGGCGGCACCGTTGGCCCAGATTCCCAAGCAGCTTCTCAATGGAGAGGATGGCTTGATATGGCTTATTCTTGTGCTGGTTGACTTGGCCAATCGTTTGTTATTTTGCGACTGGACTGGAAGGTAACTCTAAATATCTTTCGGATTGCACCATCTGGGGCCTGTGCCACATAATTAATTATACAATCACGATCAATTATGCATGTTAAAGTCTATCGAAGTTACCTGGCAACATTGCAGTTTGTGCCAGGATGATGAGGGTGTTGAGGCGCCATTCACAGTTCAAAACTGTTAAATCTGAGCGTCGCAAAACAGGACGAATGGAGATGTGCTGGCCCAATTGGAAGCTCACGACCTGCCACTGGTGGGGGAATGGGAAGTCAGTTGGGGGAAGAATGTCACCCGCCAAAGTCGACTAGAAGATGGGGATACATATTTGACAAACCGTTCTGAAATATGTCGAAGTCAGCTTGAGTTCCTTGTTTTGAAGTTGGCACTTGCCTCAGGTTTGCCCGTGTGCTCGGGTTGACCCATGTTGCTAGTTTCATGAAGGAATGAATGATGCAATCAAGGTTGTTTGTGTGTGACCACGGCACAAGTGGTCAGCGATAAAATCTTCAGCATACGGACGGTCAAAAGCTGGAAGCTATTATATTGCATCATATTCAAAAGTGCGGTTAAGCTACTAGGAGCAAGGACGCTACTAGGGGCTCCTCTACTAGGAACAAGAAGCTCCTAGGGGCTCCTGGCATCGCTACTAGGAGCAAGGACGCTACTCTGGAGCATTTGCTGTTCATCGCTTCATTCCATGTCAGGAGGCTTGCAAGGTTGCCCTGCAGCGGTTTGACACTGCTGAAGCCGCCCTGGAGGGGCGAGGGAATACCTGACATGAGCATTGTGTGTGTGTGTGTGAATTGGACATTTCTAGGTGGAAAGGAAAACCTGAATCACTCTGCAACAATGGCTGTTTTACATTGTTTTACTCTGCTTGCTCACCATGGAAGGACTTTTTTTTGGACACAGAGGAAGGCCGACAGCTTTGCGCAAAGACATTGGAGGCCACTAGTCGCCAAGCCTTTTCGGCTTTGCATTTTTTGACTTGAAATGCCTTTGGAGGCATCGTTTCAAAACGTGAAGGAGAATCCAGAGTCCTCCCTTTCAATGTTGTTTGCAATCAGCCTCTCAGGGCTGTTTACAGATCCAATGCCTGAACTTCTGCCATTCTTCTCTACTGATACATTGGTGTGCGGTGGGACGATTGAGTCATTGAGCCTGCTTCACTACAAGGCCGCCTTGCATCAAGCTGTCTCAAACTTGGACGGAGGACCTTGCTTTGTGATTGCCAGTTATGTTCTTAGTCATGGTCGCGTTCGTAAAGTATTTACTCACTGTCCAACATTGTGCCGGCGCCGTTTGAAAGACATCAAGTCAACAGGCTGGCTGTCATTGTCCCAAAGGCTTGGAATAGTTTGAGGAAGGGGAGGGGCGGTCGGAATGGAAAAGGACTGACCTCATGAAAGACAAAGAAAGAAATACTGTATATGAAAACGCAAGGTCTCTATACACACACGTCACACACACATATATACATAATATAGAAGAAAGAAAGAACAGAGCACATAAAAAAGGCGCCCTACTACTGTCAAGACTTCTATTAAGGTTTTGCCTTCTCACCCGTTTGCTTTCCTGATTTCGTTGTTTGATTGTTTTAGACATAGACCTTTAGATCATTCTTTTTCCAATGACTCCTTGACCGTTCTTGTTGACGTGGGGGGCAAGGACCTGAACATCAACGACAAGAAGTCCGCCGCTTGCTGGAGCAGCGTGCCCAAGTGAACTTGCCAAGCACTCATGGAGATACGCCACTTATGCTGGCAGTGCGCGCTGCAGGCAAGAGGTTTTGCCGACTTCAACCCAAATCAACCATCGCACTGTTCAAACGAGATTCGATGGATTCGATAATTCTGTTCTGCTCGTGGGGTATCGCGACTATTCTAAATTGCTTGCCAGCAGCCAGTGGCGCACAAGTTCGAGACCAATTGCAAAATTTGTGTAGGGCCAGGGCACAAGTCACTCTTGTGTGTGTGTGTGGGCCTCAAAGCTGAGTGGAAAATTTGGACCATAAGGTTGGGCCCGGTTGGGCTAAGGGGAAGCCGGCAGAGGCAGCATGAAATGTTTCCACTGTTGGTTGCAATGGATCATTCCTCCCTAGATATGGACAATTCCTCTCTGATTTTCCTCACACGGATTCAGAAAGAAACTGGCATGATTACATGCATAGAGCAACACTAACTTACCATCACTATCGCATTCTCAATGATCCAGAAGGAGCGGCTGGCCTTTAATGGAAACTTCATGTCTTTTTGTCTTGTCCATCGCCCAGAACCCCTGCGAATTGCGGAGGCAGCCTGGGCACCTCTGAGTTGCCAAATCGCTTAGCCGTGGTTCGCGAGCTTTTGGTCATGCGGGCCCAGCCGGACACAGCAGATTCAGAGGGTGAGACAGCTCTCATGGAGGTGCCTGCTGTTTCTATTGATTGCGAGTGATGCTTTTGAGGTGATGTCGCAGAGCTTTCAGGGCTGCGAAGCACTTTTTGGAGGGTTTGGAAAGTTGTCTCGGACAAGTCGGTGGAATACATGAAACACCTTTTCGATTTTGTCATGGTCGATCAGGTGTTCCTTTTGCCATTTTTTGCCCCAGGCCGTGTGCATGGGCGACCTGTCCTTGTGCGGCTTGCTGCTGGAGGCAAGGGCAGACCCTGAGCGCCAGAGCTCAGCCGGGGCCAAAGCACAGGAGCCATTGGGAGAGGCTTCCGGGAAGGAGGCTGTAATACTTTTTTGAATCCAACCTCAACCAGAATTGATGACGTACTATCACTAGTATGATCTAGTATGTGATTAAGTTTGGCACCTCGAATCATGGCCCTTGCATGCCATTGCCACATGCTACTGAGGCAGCCCAGTCATTTCTTGGGGAGACAGAGCTGGAGAAGACCCGCTTGGAAGTGCAGCGGAACTAGTAGATTCATTAAACTATATTGTATATTCACGTCGCTTCGCGACGGTAACCGCCCGCACCGGATGGAAGGGGACAATACATCCACCGAGTTCCGAGCTGCTTGTGCTCTTGGAGCCAAGGGAGTGAGTATGAAAAGAAGTTTTCGACATATCGTCCATATTGTCGGCCCCAGAACGGCTCTCCCTCAACGTGGCTGAATATAGCTTCCATATCGCCTGGAACGTCGCAAATATAAGGTCCAACTGGAGCAGAGAGAAGCAGAGTCATCAGGGGAAGGGATGATGTGGTATTCGATGGTTCAAGGGCCTTTGTAAGTAATCGTGGCTGCTGAAGGGCCGCCACCACTGCTGGAGGTATCACGATGGGACGGTTGACCCTGGCAATTACCTTTTCTTTTCAAACAAGCTTGGGCTCAAAGACCGCAGCCATTTAGGGGCCGATGCTGCAGACCCGGTCAAGGATCTGTAGGCGGGAGGTGTTTGCAGTATGAAACGAACATGGCAGATGATGACATGGTGGAACACATGCAAGGCAAACACTATGGGATTGTTGATCCAGGTAGGGTTCGCTGTCCTTCTCAAACAAGCTTGGGCTCAAAGACTGCAGCCACTTTTGGACGGGTTTCATCAAGGCAGGAAATCGTCCATTTTTCGAAACGTAGGCAGAGTGCTGCAGAAGGGTCGCCACGACTATCAGAAACGGGTTCTTGTGCCGCAGCCATTTGGGTGTGGGATGACGCTGTGATGTAACTCTGTTTATCTTTGCTCCGGTGGAGCCAAATATCACTTCTAATCTGCCAGACAATATGGAAGCTATGTTTAGCCACGTTAGGGGGAATCTATTCCAGTTTACGACGTTGAAGCGCAGACACGTCCTTTCGGTAGTACCTTCTAGATCTCTGTTAGGCAATATATGGGAGCCATGCTCGTGAGATAATGTTACCGTTCCTGGACCTGATCTGCTTATCTCTGCTCCTGACCAGCCACGTACCCGGACGTTCAAGTCCCTATCTCGCAGACACGTCCTTTAGATAGTGACTTCTA